CGGTGGTGCTGGGTGTAGTGGGCGGAGCCGTGGCCACAGGAACTACAGACACGTTTGAATGACAGAAAACAGGAAACACTTCAGTACATGTGATGTGCTCGTCACTGTGAGCCACACGTCACAAAGAGAACTTGAACTTCAGGAAAAAACCTTACGTTTTGAACATTTAGTCTTTTATCTGATTTTCAATGAAATACAAAGTTCAAATTATGCTAATTTTATTCATTTTAATAAAAAACTGTAATCCCCTTCCTCTGATTGTCAGTACAGTTACAGCATGAAGGAACATCAAAGCTTTTGCTGAAAGATACAGACAAATGTATCACTGAAATATATCATCTCACGTAATGACTAAACATGGTTTGGAATTTTTATGTTTACATTTCAACCATTATATCTACCGTATCTATTAGAAATTCAGTAACTATATTGTCATTAGAGAGCTGAAACTGACGGAGCTGAAAGTGAGTGAGTGAGAGTGTGTGAGGGTGTGTGTGTGTGTGTGTGTGTGTGTGTGAGTGAGTGAGTGAGTGAGTGAGTGAGTGAGTGTGTGTTTCAGCACATACATGTTCTCTGTGTGGTGGTGACGGCGGGTCCCTCCGTGTCCTGCAGCTGAGCGTGAATGCTGATGGTGTACTGTGTGTTCGGCGTCAGATCATTAAAGCAGTGTCTGGACGTGGAGCCGCTCAACCTCACTTCCTGTTTCTCACCGTCTGAAACAGAAGATTGAGTGGAAAACCCAGACATATTCCGCTAGTCATGCACCATATCAAGTCTGCCCTCCCCGCCTACATGTGGAAGAATTGACAATAAAGCAGACTTGACTTGACTTGACTTGAGATTTACGCTGCTCGTCTCTGTGTGTGTGTGTGTGTGTGTGTGTGTGTGTTGACATCTACTGCACTGTACATCAGTATCAGGTAAAAAGTGTGAACTCTTCTGAAAGTAAAGCGGTACTGGTCTCATATGTGAACACGATCAGACATCTGTCAAACGACGCTGTGAATCATGTTTATACGCTGCATGCTTCAGACTCTAAATGAGGCGTTTTGTTCAGTGACCTATAATCACACGAAGCCTCACCACTGACATGCCAAAGTTACAATCACCTGACAGCATTCCATAGACTGCCATCGCTTTATATACAGCTAGTTACTATAACCAAACAATACAATTATTAATTTTTACAATTAAACTTTCATGCACTGGTCAGTTTTTGGTGTGTTTTGCTTCCATTTCATGTCTCTTTTTTATAGTGGACTAGAAAACATCCAAGATATGCATTAAGTGTTATATATATACATACTGTATATATATATGCCTATATAGTTTTTATTGATTTTATTTCCATTGTAGTTTTAGTTATTTTAGTATATAAAGTTAAACTAAATTAAAATGAGAAATGTTGCCTTAGCAACTAGCTGAAATAAAATGTTTTTGTTTTTTTCTTTTTTATTTTATTTCAGTTAACGTTTATTTTATTTCAAGTAAGAAAAACAAAAATGTTTTTTAATGGTTTAAAATTTTTAATTGGTTTTAAATTTTGAAGTTTTTAGATTTAGCTTGGGTTCACTATAATAACCCTGATTCACACGATTGATACCTGATTTATTCAACATTTTACTCCTGAAAACATGGTGAAAATGTGTTTGTTTTCTGTCTGTTGACAGTATTTTCTGATTTATGATAAAAAGAGAAATCCCAGAATCCCCTCTGAAATAACCTTTAACTCTAATATGAGGACAAAATCAGACCAGAATTATGAATCGATGCTCAGATTTCAGTTCTGGAAATTCATGCAAATTAGTGCATATTTAATTAGATAATGCCTCATTTGCATATATAAACATAACATTTCAGAAAACTTGAAATACAAAAAAGATTTGAAATTCTTAATGTAATTCATTAAACTGGTGAATTATGATTAGCTATATTCGTTACATTTTTTTCCCTATTCACCTGTAGTGTCTTAGTGTCCTTAAAAAAACAAAACGTTATTTACTTTGTTTTTTACAGATTTCACAAATGAGGACGTCATCAAAAGGAGGTTTTGTCAGGTTTAACTCACTTCTGTGAACACATTCGTCTCTAAAGCATGTGTAAGTATTTCCGAACACAAACACTCACTGAGCGGCGACTGCAGGAAGAGGCGGTACAGGTTTGCGTGTCGATGCGGCTGCCACTGCACACACATGCTGCTCGTCCGAACCTGATACGTGCTGAGGTTACTCACTCCCAGATACACTAGAGAGACAGACACAGGGCGTCAGAGGCGCTCACACGCGCACGCGTGTTCAGTGTGTCGTGCACTCACGTGTTTTGGCGCGTCCGCTCAGGGCCTCGCTGGATCCCGTGGTGTAGGTGGCGATGACTTTAACGCTGTACTCCGTCCCGCTCAACAGATTGACGATCAGCATGGTGTTGATGTCGTCGCCCACGAACGTCTCCAGCGCGTGGCTGGCCGCTGTCAGAGGTCAGAGGTCAGCGTGTGTGTGTGTGTGTGTGTGTTGTGTGTGTGATGAGGCGCTCGGGTACCTGAGGTGGGCTGGTAGACGATCCTGTAACCCATGGTGGGCGACGGCGGCGCGTCCCAGCTGATGCGGAAGCGGTTGTACCACTCCTCAGACACACGGAGGTTACTGGGAGCAGAGAGAGGCACTGCGGAGGAAGAGACCCTGACTGGGGTTTCAGTTCACAACTGATCAGTCCCTCCCTGTGAAACACAACTGGCCCGTACGCACTCGTTTGTTTCATTAAAACATTCTAGTGAGACAGGAAACGGGTAGCTGACATTGTCTCTGAGGGTGTACAACTTTCATTTGTCCATTAGGATTTCATATCAATAAATGTCTAGTGTGTTTTATAACTGTACAGCATGCTTTCCATGTCTGTTGTCCCCCAATGTTTCAAAACATCCACCACTGTGCCCATACCAAAGACACCCAAAGTCACATGCTTGAATGAGAGGCGCCCATCATCAGTTAGTGCTTTAAGAAGCTCATCAGAGATCACTTCTGCCGGCATCTCTTGACCCACTGCAGTTCGCCTACCGCAACAACTGCTCCACTGACCACGCAATTGCCTTCACCCTGCACACTGCACTTTCCCATCTGGACAAGAGGAACACCTATGTGAGAATGCTGTTTGTTGACTACAGCTCAGCGTTTAATACCATAGTGCCCCCTAAGCTTGTGGTGAAACTCCGGGCTCTGGGTCTGAATAGATCCTGGACTAGAGTTGGCAGCAATATCTCCTCCCCACTGACCCTCAACACTGGTGCCCCACAGGGCTATGTTCTCAGTTCTCTCCTGTTCTCCTTGAAGGGTCAACAGCTTCAAGTTCCTTGGTGTCCAGGACCTCACCTGGTCTGCTCACACACAGTCAGTGGTGAAGAAGGCGCACCAGCGTCTCTTCTTCCTCAGGCAACAGAAGAAATTTGGTCTGAGTCCAAAAATTCTAAAACAATTCTACAGCTGTCCGGCTGGTACGGGAACGGCATCTCTCAACCGGAAAGCCCTGCAGAGAGTGGTTCAGACGGCCCAGCACATCGTCGGAGGTGAGCTTCCCTTCCTCCAGGACATCTACACCCAGCGATGTGTGAGGAAAGCATGGAAGATCATCAGAGACTCCTGCCACCCGAGCTACAAACTGCTCTCACTGCTTCCATTAGGCAGACGGCACCGCGGTGTGAGGACCCACACCAGCAGACTGCGAGACTGCTGAACTCCAGCCAATAAAACAACACAGCACACCTCATATACCCTTACACTGCACTTTATTACCAGACTAGTTACACTGACTCTAAGTGACAGCACTCAACGCAGGCTACATCGTCTCTCTTCAGCACTCTGACGAGCTATCTGCACTAAACATCACAGCGCATTAACTGATCTCTAAAACAACATCCACATTTACCTCACTGTGTTATTACTGTGAATTATACTGACTATTACTGTGATTACTGCAACTGCATTCGGTTGTAACATGAAAACTTCCTGTCTATTCCTTGTGTATACTGTGTATCTTGTGTAAATGTGTATATTGTTATTTAATGTATATTGTCAGTTATCATACGTCGTGTTGTTTATACGGCCCGTTACAGAGACTTGCAGGTACACCTGTTTACACGATGTGTGACAATAAAGAGATTTGATCTGATTTGATTTGATTTGATAGTGTTTACAATGTTTGGAGATGTTTCGATTAATTTACCAGATTTTACGAATGTAATAAAACATGACTTCTACACAGATGCGACTTATCTTTGCTTTTTTCTCTCAATAATGCAATTATGAGCCGGTCATAATTTAGCCTGATCAATTTAGTTTTCTCAAATCAACACTTGACTTACCTACAATAAAATCCAGAGATATAAAACACTTAAGGCATATCACAATGTTAGTTTATTTTCAATTTCTAAAATATTTAATTAATTTATAAAACATTTACATTAATTACATTTATTTGAATTTGAATCAAAATGAATTTAGAAAACATTTAAATGAATTTATAACACATTTAAATAAATTGAATTTAAATGCATGTATAAAACTTTTTTGTCACAATAAACTAGTGAAGGTCAGTGGTCCTTAGAACGAGTTACAGGCCATAGAATGCACACTTTTCTCTTAGATTCATATATACTTCAACTTAAAATCTTGTTGTTAATGCAAAAGTCGCTCCTCTAACATGCTGACTGCTGTATGCGTTACCCAGAATCCCCGAGCGAGGCTCAGTGGAGAGCAGACTCACGTGTGCGTGCGAGGCGTGTGATGGGCGGCCCGTCGCCGTCGCTGTAGACCGCTGAGACGCTGAGACGGTACTCTGTGTCCGACAGAAGAGGCTGCAGCAGCAGCGAGGTCTGAGCCGCAGGAACCATGGCCTGCAGCAGAGAGAAAACACACCGTCAGTCACAGAAACCACAGTCATGAAAGGTGTTTTGATCTGGGGAATGTTCCTGCGGTGAACACAAACACATTTCAGGACGACGGCCTGTAGCGCTGCGAAACTCTGCGGCAAAAACCCATCGATAAAAACTAAACACACGCTTACAAAACTCCACAGAAGACAAAACACATTCACAAGCCACAGGGAGTTTTGAGTCACTTTAACATACAAACACTGTACATTCACTGATGTTACAGCATTTGAGACCCATTAAACGTGATGGATCACATCTGAACGTGCCATGGATCAAAAACAGCAGTGCCGCAAAACATAACTCTCTTCCCTCTGATCCAGCTCTGGTTTAATCCAGTTTTCACACATGGGCTGTCATGAGAAATGTATGATGTGAAAATGACTAGGGATGCATGATATTGGATTTTTGCCGATATCCGATATGCCGACATTTTTCAAGACATTTTGCCCCGATGCCGACACCGATATATATTTCCTTTTGATTGGAAACAGCATCAAGTCTCTCCTGTACAGAGATTATAAACAAATCATTTTACATTTTGGTTCGTTTTTAACAAAAACGTACTTTTTAGGGTTAAATAAGCAATAATGAAGTTATTTTATAATGCGAGTACATTGAAAGCTTTGAAAAATAACTATAAATCAACTATAAATCAATGCAAAAATTCCCTCAGTTTTTTTCTCAGACAGATGCAGTGGTAACCTTAACATTTTATTTGTAGATTTAATATTGGTGTATTTTACTTTCATTTTATTACAAGTAGGCCTACAGCGCCCCCTAAATAAATAAAAGGCCTCACCGGACGGGCGTTACGACTCTTTACTCTCATCACACACCGGACGCCTCATTCTGTACTTGTATTCTCAGATTAAATGTGGCGATCCACAGGCAAAAGTTCATTCAGCAAGGCATATCGGCGCATACCGTTACCGATGTTTACATTTTAAGCCATTATCGGCCGATTCCTTTAACGTTCCGATAATATCGTGCATCCCTAAAAATGACACTTGCATTTAAATCAGCACCATTTGCAATGTCTATATATATTCAGGTTATAATCATAAGTTTGAAGACATGTAGGAGAGCATGGACAGTCAGATTCAGACGCTCACCGTCTGTTCGGCGCGGTCTCCTCTTGTGCTGATGTACGACACTCGGTACTGACGCACGTTTGGACCCAGCGGATCCCATGATACACGCATGCTGAAGGTCGTCACATCACTCAGCTGCAGATTCCTGATGGCCAGACGCTGCACTGCGCACACACACACACACACACACACACACACACAGACACACTCAACACACACACACACTCACACACACACAGACAGACAATGAGCTGAAGCCATGATCATCAGAGCGCATTTAGGGTTTTCCTGCGCTGAAACTGTTTCGGTGGTCAGCAAAGTGAAAGAAATCAATCTTTGCGATGTTTTCTGTAGTGACTGAGTCATCAACTGCTGTTCTGAAGGTTAATGAAATGTTTGGGGAAATGCAAGAAGTTCAGAGGAGCAGAAGTGCCACGCAAACAAAAAACACAGATAATGCGTGTGCATGAACATGTCTGTAAGAGACTGCCGAAGAGCATTTCTGACGCAGGAAAACATCTGCTGGGAACACATGAGAGATTTTACCGGCTGTAGTCGTTCTGACGGTCGTCGTCACAACTGTTGTTGTTCTGGCGACTTCAAACAAAATTAGAGACAAAAAAAAACACATTTTAAGTTTCGTGATTCTGGTCAATATTCCGACAGCACTGGGCTTAATGAACGATCACGTGACGTCAGACCTGTGGTCTCACTGATCTTCACCAGATCGCTCTCAGACTCGTCTCTGTAGATCGCAGACAGAGAAACTTCATATTTAGTCAAAGGCTTCAGACCCGTGATGACAAACCAGTTGGAGTTATCATTGATGAGAACCTGCAGACGAACACAGAGTCATCAGACGGACTGATGCAGACAACAGTGATGAGATCGCTGGTGTTTCGTTTTCAAGAAGACAAATGCAGAGACAGACGGGCAGACAGACATGTGTGCACCTCTTTAGTCTCTCCGCCTGCTGCAGGTCTCCAGGTGAGTCTGTAGAAGGAGACGTCAGAAGCGGCATCTTGCCACATCACTCTGAAGCTATCAGTGGACACGTCACTGCTGCGGAGATTCAGCGGCAGAGGAACCTCACCTACAACACACACACACACATTAAAAAAAGAAATATGATTTCAATTTACAACTTGATTGTATGTTTTTTTTTTTTGCATTTCAATTATATTTGAACTTTAATGTTATTTTTAATATATTAATGCTATGCGTGTCCTCACTGGTGGTGAAGCTGTCCGTCAGCGGTTCTGCTTGTCCCTCGTCATACAGGGCAAAGATGGCGACGGTGTACTCCGTCAGAGAGGTCAGGTTACGCAGCAACAGCTTGGTGACCGGACCCACTTCCACCTGAGGTCACCAAAGGGTCAAAGGTCAGAGACATGCCAAAACAATTCAGTTCACAGTGGCCGGATGCGCTCTCACCTTATTGGTCTCCACAGCGTCCGTCTTCACATAAACAATACGGTAACCTTTGACCTTACGAGACGCCGCGTCCCACGAGAGTTTAGCGGAGCTGTGTCTGACGTCTGAGATGCGCAGATTACGAACCGGAGTCAGACGGACTGAGAGCGAGAGAGTCAGAAAGATGATATTATCAGCTCTTCTCGGGTGAAGGCTAGTATTTAGCACACACATGTGTTTCTCTGATGTGTTGCGTGTCTGGGGTTTGGACTCACGCGTGGTCTCCTGCGCGGTCATGGGGTCACTGGCTTCCTCTCCATACAGGGCATAAACAGTCACTGTGTATTCGGTCGCAGGAGTTAAACCTTCCAGTTCAACCTGAGTCACGGAGTCAGACACTTTAACCTGTAAACACACAAACACACACTCACTAGTTAGGGATACTCAGATCTGAGAGCATCTACATTCATGCATGTTCCAACCGGGTGTCATCGACTGATTCTAGTCCAAATCTTCACGCTGGACATTCACATGCAGTGTGAGAGGACCTGTAGTGTGTGTGTGTGTGTGTGTGTGTATTCCACCTCCTTCTCGTCCGCGGGGTCGCCCTCCGTCAGAGGCGCGTACAGGATCATGTACCCAGAAGCCCCTTCTGCCTCCCGCCAGCGCGCACGCATGCTACTGTGAGTGATGTCATGCAGCTCCAGATTACTGACCGTCGGCAACGCCACTGACCGACAAACACAACAATCAACAAACCATACAGACACAAGAAGTACTGCAGGATTCACTTCTGCAGGAGAATAAAACAGATCAGACATATACAACTGATCATTTCAGCACAGATCAGATGAGTTTAACATATCAGACATATTAAACAGATCAGGTGAGTACTAATAGATCAGACACGCACAAATGATCAGTTCAAAACAAAATAACAGATCAGATGTGATAATAAATCAGATGTAATGAACAGATCAGATGTAATGGATAGAGAAGATGTGATTTTAGATCAGAAGTGATTACAGTTCAGATGTGATAATAGATCAGTTGTAATGAATAGATCAGAAGTGGTAATAATCAGATGTAATGAATAGATCAGATGTAATAAAATATCTGATGTAATAATAGATAGGACGGTGTATTAATAGATCAGATGTGATTTTAGATCAGATGTAATGAACAGACCAGATGTTATATCAGATCAGATGTGATAATAGATCAGATGTAATGATCAGATCAGATGAACTCACAGGTGGTCTCGCTGCCTCTCAGAGCTTCACTGGCTGCGTTGCTGTAGATGGCGAACACAGTGATCTGATACTCCGTCAGAGAGTTCAGATACCTCAACACCACAGAGTTATCATTGCCGTTCACCACCACCTGCACAACACACCGCATTCACACACACGGATGCACAGCGGTGTCTTTCACTAGTTCTCCTAAACTAACATTCACAGAGGAAGATTCAAAATAATGGATCATGAGGCCTTTTCTATTATTGAGGCCAGCTAAAATGTCTTTAAAAGTGACATGCTTCACTACATTACTGAAGATCATAAGTATATACACACACACACACACCTCTTCGGGTCTGGATTCACTGGGTGAGTAATACACCACTCTGTACTTCTCCACCGGTCCTGCAGCATGGGTCCATGACACACGGAAGCTCCTGGCCATGACCTCAGAGGTCACAAGGTTACTGGGAGCGTCCAGTGACCTTGTGGAATATGGATCTGTCTCACCTGAAAACACACAGAAACTTTACATCATCTAAGCAGGATGGTATAAAAGCTTAAATACAAGCTGCTGTTAAATATTAAAGTTTCAGCTTTGTTAAAGGGGTCATATGATGTTGCTAAAAAGAACATTATATCCACTGGGGACATAATTACGGATTATAATGACTTATACTGTCTTTTTACGCGTCTTTTTACCATGTCTGCATTTGTGATCGGAGAAATGACAAACAACAAGCGCTACTCTACACTGCTCAAAACCCGCATTTGAATCATCAGTGGCAAATCTTTTAAAAACGAAATCGTCAGAACAGCCGGCATTGTAGTCTACTCTCCCAGGATCAGGATTGTAGGCTACTCTCCCAGGAATCAGTCCTCATCCTCCGTAAAATGCGCTGCACACATTTGAATATTTGGTTTGAACTGCTCTGGAACAGTGTTGTAAATACAACTTAACCACTGATTTCTAGCTGTGTCCTCTTTTGGAAGACCAAACAAAGTAGTTTCGCTTTTCACAACGTGAAACACACAGAGTCACACACGGCGGGTTAGAGTGAGCGAAGGCCGGCGGGCTAGAGTGAGCGGCGGGCTAGAGTGAACGGAGACCGGGGGCTTGAGTGAGCGAAGGGTGGCGGGCTAGAGTGAGCGGCGGGCTAGAGTGAGCGGAGGCCGGTGGGCTAGAGTGAGCGGAGGG